AAAAAAAAAAACGTCCCACTCTTTCCGGCATGGAAACAACGAAGAGTGAGATATAATTCGACAACAAAGTAAAAATAAAAACACAACCTCTGCATCTACATAAGGAAATTCTACATGCAGCCTGTGACCAACCACTGGCCAACGTTTTCCAGTCATGTGGCACAAGCGAGCAACTACGGATGCTCTATCGCCATAGGTATTGGATAAATGTTTCGCCACCTAAAAGAACCTACCGTTGTTTACTTGGTAAGTGATATGCAACAGTATCGGAACCAAAAAATGCCGAAAACAATATACATCCTCCTCAAGCCCATAGTCCTGGACTAGACGAATGTGTAACAGCGGATCCCAGTGATGAGCGCCCTCTAGTAACAAACCAGCAGTTATACAAGGGTTCCGCTGCTTTAGATCACAAGCTTTAACTGCAGCATCAACTGTTTCCTCAGCCATGTGTCGGTATGTTGTCCATTTACCACCTAAAAAAATTTTACTCTAGTAGCTGGAAATAAAATAAACACCACTAAGCACCACCCAAAAAGAGAAAAATTGTTTAGAAAGAATTTTGATTATAAAAATCACGTCAGAAAATCACCAGCTATAGTAATTAATTTGCTTTTCGATATTTCAATAATGTGATTCCTGGCTAGAGACTTTGTGTCCTTCTTATTCGGATCCCTTACTAATGGCCTTAACCCTGACCAAGCGCTCATGACGTCTCCACGACGAACTGTAACAAGTGTGATTGAAAATATGACACAGTTAAAACAAAGACGTGCCGGAATAATGTCACAAGCTTTCGTCATGGCTAGTATAAATTTAAAAAATACGTTTTGAATTACCTGGAACATCATCAGATAGATACCGACGTATCTCTTGAAGAATAAATTCTATATCAACAGTACTAGGACTTGGACTGAAAGTGACACTAGTAGGAGCATCTGTAGTGCCTGCAACGGTCATACCTTCCCAAGGTAAAAAAAATATGACACGTCCATCACTCGTTGACGGATCCAGAAGACCAGTATTCGCCGGGCTAAATGTTGCAGTGTTAATTGTAAAACCAGCATAACAGTGTAGAGGCAGATAAATAACTTGAAGTCCAGAGAAACTGCAAAGCCACACAATCAGTTTTATTGCAGGCCCTTCAAAATACTTTTACCAGTAGTAAGCAGGCAGAACAATATGGACGCCAGCAGAAGGCTGGCAGATTGGCTTTGCATCTGGATCTGCCATTAAACGAATGGAATCTGTGAATGGCCCAGTAGCATTCACCACCGCCTTTGCTTTGATATCCCACTCATCTCCAGTTAGCTAAAAAAAATAACACTTTCCACCTTTTCTTATTAAGGCCATATACTTCAGTCACTTACAGTAACTGCACAAAACTTTTACTCAGTAAATCAAAATGCAGTATCACAAATATTTATCTGAACTTTGGTACCATATCTTTAACGTGAGCACCACACAATGTTCCATCTTTATTTTTCAGAAATCCTTCCACTTTGGTGTGATTCACAGCTTTAGCCCCAAGTCTTATTGCTGTCAATATCACAGACAAGTTCATCCTGGCATCATTATGCATGCCTAAAAATGCACCTCTTATATTGGAGAAGAAGATAAAAATGAACAAGAATGTACAAGAGTCTGTTACTTAAACGGTCCATCAAATTAAATAACTCTTATTAAGAAACTCGATATACTTCAGATCCTAATCTACACAGAAAATTTTGAGCAGAATGCCCACGAAAATCAAAGTAAACTGGCGTAGCAATGAGACAACGGTAATATTTACCATCGTAGTAAATCAGTGCCCCTTTTAAAGAATCACGTTTAAGCATTGGAAAGCGTTCCAAGGCGTTTTCCTTACTTATATAAAAGGAATTTCTTAAAACACGTTTTCCCGAAACAAAGTCGTATAATTTAACTCCCAGCCAGTAATATGGAACTTGCCACGTTCTAAATAAATTTTTGGCTATTAAAACAAAGAGCAAAAATTGATGAAGAATATGGTTAGCGGTTATACTAAAGAAAGTCGACGCTCACTTATAAATCGGCAGCATAATGGGCAGTGGAAAAGCCAAGTGAGGGGCACAATGAATTAAATTAGCACGTTCAAAGAGGGCTTCCTTGACCATCCTATACTGCTCCCGATCCAAACCGAAAATAGCAGCTTGCAAGTATCGAACCCCTCCGTGGATCAATTTCGTGCTTCTTGAACTTGTCCCACTGGCAAAGTCATCATATTCGACCAACGCAGTTTTTAATCCTAAGAACAGAAATAATGGGTTCAAGTTTATATATGCAGTACTTGGGGTGCCAAAGATCATGTAATAACTATCCAAAATAACTTGTAGTCATTTTTCCAGAAAGATTATAATTTATTAATTACTGCCCAACGAGATTACAAATCAAACCAGTAATTTAAGAGTTAAATAAGCATCACATATGCCGTAGGTGTAAAGAAATTTTTCAACTCGTGAAAAAAAAAGAAAACAATTGCTCTGTCCCTAGAAAAAGAATAAATAAATTCACCTCGAGACTGAGCATCCAAAGCAACGCCAGAACCTGAAGCTCCACCGCCAATAACCAAGACAT